TGGCATAAAGAACACATACCCCAAGTTTAGATTTGGATATGGTCACATTGGTGCAAGCTGCTTGATGTGACTTCCCACACCTGCAGCAATTTAAACATGCAGGTCTTATTTTAGTTCATCAAATCAGATATTTTCTGGGCTCTGACACTCATAATGAATGCCGATGCAGCCTATTTTTTTTATATTTAATGAAACATTAGCACACCACAGTGGTTCCTAATTGTTCACTGGTGAGAAAAAAGTGTCTTCCCTTTACGCCGGTACAAGAGAGGAGTCATTTAAAGCATCATTGTGTCATTCCTAAGACAATTAATTATCAATGAGGGGAATTCAATAATTTGATGGAACCCAGCAAACAGTACTTGGAACTACTAATACAATAATTAATGATGATCAACTGGATCATTATTTGAATTCTTCTTGAAAAATGGATCAAGTCTACAGTAATCGTTGGAGTGGTAAATTGCATGTTTTATTTTAATGGATGGTACATAAATGGAAATCTGGAAAAAAGCAGACTAAATGGCAAAGTGAGTTGAAATTTCAGTGTGTGCTAGAGGACTTCTCTTAAGTGGCTGATGGTTCCATTACAGCAAGTGGGGAGGGGGAGGGAGAGAACAAAAAACACCCAGCCTGAATGGTAATAAGAAGATAATATTGCTAAGTGGTTCCTAAAATGTTGCAAGCAACCCTAATGAAATTTTTTTAAGGAAGCGCTAAATTAAGGGTTTGAACTGATTTTCCAAATAAGTTCACAAAAATGATTAGTCCTTAAAAAGTGCTGACTTCCTCACCTGACCACACATATACAGTATGTTTGTGGTCTACACAACAGGGGTGGGGAACTAACTAGATTTCCTAAAATCTCTCTGTCTTCTTGCCCCAAGCTGGTTCCTATTTCACACAAGTGCCCCAGGAGAGTAGCTGCTTACTATGTTGGTTATATGTTAGAAAACGGCACACTACTTTTGTCATTAAAAAATTCAAAGAGGGATCTGAACAAGACCATTTGTGAACACCTTCATCTGCTATAATTAAGGGATGGGGAACCTTTGGTCTTCCAGGTCCAACATTCATGACCATTCAGAGTAAGTGCCCACAACATCTGGGGAGACTATGGCTTCGTACACACTGTACATTTAAAGCACATTCCGTACCACTACCAAATAATGATGGGAACTGTAGCTTACCCCTTACAAAGTTACAATTCCAAACACTCTTAACAAACTACAGTTCCCATGATTCTTTGCAAGGGGAGTTGCAATGTGCTTTAAATGTGTTTAAAACATATTAGTGTGTACAGTGGTACCTCTGGTTAAGTACTTAATTCATTCCAGAGGTCTGTTCTTAACCTGAAATTGTTCTTAACCTGAAGCACCACTTTAGCTAATGGGGCCTCCTGCTGCCACCGCGCCGTGGGAGCCCGATTTCTGTTCTTATCCTGAAGCAAAGTTCTTAACCTGAAGCACTATTTCTGGGTTAGTGGAGTGTGTAACCTGAAGCGTATGTAACCTGAAATGTATGTAACCCGAGGTACCACTGTACACAGCCACAGGTCAGCCACCTCGTGTAGTGATTCAATATCTTTAGAACCTCATGGCATTAGAACACACATTATTATTCTAATTTTTATGTCACCTGCTCTGGGATCACTATTTGTGATGAATAAGTGAGTGATACAAATTTTAAATAAAATTTAAAATGTATGTGCCCAATACTCCACCTGTATTCATTCACCTGGAACATGGGCTTTAAGGAGTAACTGCTTGGCACACATGCACTGCCTAATCAACACTGGCCCTCCAGATGTTTTTGGCCTACAACTCCCACGATCCCTAGCTAGCAGGACCAGTGGTCAGGGATGATGGGAACTGTAGTCTCAAAATATCTGGAGGGCTGAGGTTGAGGAAGCTCGGTCTAATCTTTTCTTCCTTGGCTCTGGCCTTGGATGGCACTGATGGGATACTTCCTCCTTGGCTTTTGTTCTGCCATTCCTCCCTTGTCAAAGATAAGGCTCTTCTGTTCTCCATCCCCTTGGTTCATCTGTTGAAGTGGTCACTGCTGAAATAACAAAGGCTGACATAGTCATACTGATGCCACTCCAGTGGGTTCCAGTGGGATGACACCTTTGAATCTTCAGATGAAGCTGCCTGCTTCTTTGGCTTGCTTGTGTTTAAAAGGGAGCGGAGTTTGCTTGCTCTTGGGAGAAGACCTTCATGCTTCATCAGGCAGAGGGTTCAGCTTGAGTTTGTGACCTGGGATGCCCATTTCTTCTGCACTCCAGCTCAAGCGTAGCATCAGGTACATGCATTTTAAAATCCCCTGTGCTCCATTTTCTCAGGTTCACTTACAATGTTGGGTAATGCAAGACACACTCTGGAATGTTCTTTCCACGTTGGAAGAAGAAGAAGAGTTTGGATTTGATATCCCGCCTTTCACTCCCTTTAAGGAGTCTCAAAGCGGCTAACATTCTCCTTTCCCTTCCTCCCCCACAACAAACACTCTGTGAGGTGAGTGGGGCTGAGAGACTTCAGAGAAGTGTGACTGGCCCAAGGTCACCCAGCAGCTGCATGTGGAGGAGCGGAGATGCGAACCCAGTTCACCAGATTACGAGACTACCACTCTTAACCACTACACCACACTGGAAGCCATTTATGTAAAAGTTAAATTTGATTTTGGTGCTTTCTGGTATGAACTGAACTGGCCCAACTCTGCATTGTCCAAATGAACGTTTGGATTGGAATTTTAGTTATCCGCTGTCTCTTGCATTTCCTGCATGTTCAGATGCAGTCCTTGGCTCAGATAATGTGTCTTTTGAGAGAAAACTTGTTCACAAATGCATCTTTTGAGAGAAAATGCTTCCAGGGCTAGTATCAAGGGTTGGCTTGGTGATGCATCTGTTTGGGCTGTCGAGAGAGAGGTGGGTGGCTTGCTCAATACCGGACTCAAAGCTATGTATTGGGGTTCTCCCTTGGAACCTAATGCGGAGGCAAGATCTGTGGAGTGTTAATGCTCCATCATATGCTCAGGTTGCATATATTTGTAAACAAAACCATACAAGAGGTGACAGTCTCCACTGGCCTTCTTTCCAAGGGAACTGGACCCTGAGTAAGCACTGGACGTCCTAAAGTCTCTTGGTGCCTGGAGGTTGGGTTGCGCACAATACAGTGGTACCTCGGGTTACAGATGCTTCAGGTTACAGACTCCGCTAACCCAGAAATAGTACCTCAGGTTAAGAACTTTGCTTCAGGTGAGAACAGAAATTGAGCGGCGGCAGGAGGCCCCGTTTGCTAAAGTGGTACCTCAGGTTAAGTACAGTTTCAGGTTAAGAACGGACCTCCAGAAGGAATTAAGTTCTTAACCTGAGGTACCACTTTTTTTTTAAAGCAACATTTTAAGCAACCAAGGTTGAGCAACCAGAGGCTTGCACTTAATTTTTTTTTTGTAGGAAAACAGTGCCAGAGGCTTTAGCTTGTAAGGGCTGGGGAGCGGATGCTGTGTGTGTGATGTTGTGACTTCCTGACGTTGCATGCGTGAGCATTGCACCTCCCTCCCTAAGCTGGGCAGAAGCTTCCCAGGCTTTGGGAGGGAGGTGCCAGGACTATGACAGGATGTGGGAGCCCTCCTGCCTCCTTCCCAAAGCTGGGCAGGCTATGTGTCAGGGATCAGACTCAAGAGGGCGAGATGAAGGAGGAGGAATGGGGAGGAGAAGAGGGAGACAGCCTTGACAGGGCTTTGAGAGGTTTGAGGAAAGTCACAGCTCAGAGAGAGACGAACAGAAAAGTGTTAGAAGAAGGGGACTGCGGCAGGGCAGCCAGATGACACGTTGTCACTGGAGAGTATTTCTGATTCCCCTTCTCCCAGAACGTGGCATTCGTTAAGAGTAGAGGAACAAAGGACTCCAAGACATTTGACCATGAGTGGCCACTGTCAGGGAAGATGCTGTTGCTAGGGAGGAGGGAGGAGAAGCCCAGTGTGGAGCAACACCATTGTTAAAGCTTGTTGCGTTCTTCTCTCTCTCACTATTAGGATTGAATAAAACTCATTAAAGAGGACTCTACCTTGTTTTCCCTGTTCTTGCTGCAACTAGGGGAGGAATTGGTTTCCTGAAGTCTTGACACTGTGGAAGGTGGAAGAAGGGCTCTTGGACCCATTGAAGCATCACACCTCCCTCTCTAAGCCAGGTAGAAGTTTCCCAAAGGCAAGAATAACAAGCAGCTCTTATTGTATGATACTTTTTATTCAGTTATTTAGTTGCAAGACAAGAATCCATGTCTCCACACAAAGAGAGATGTTGGCTACTATGAGTCGCGACTCTCTCACCCCAACAAGTCCTGCAGTTTGGTGCCTTTTTTGAGTGAATGGGACGGCGTCTGAATTTTGGTGAAAACCGTCGTCAGGGCCCTGAGGGCTGATTTTTTGGGTTACATGGAAACACGGCGTTTGCACCGCCCAACACTGCATAAGGTGTTTTGCAGGCATTTGGTGCCCTTTTCAAGTGAATGTAGTGACGTCAGCTTTTTGGCAAAAACTGTGACCCGTGGGTCAGGGCGTCGAGGGCTCATTTTTTGCCTATCTGGAAACAGAGTGTTTGCACTGCCAAACTCTTCAGGGGGCAATTTGCATGTGTTTGGCACTGTTTTTGTTTGCATCGGACGACGTCAGAATTTTGGTGAAAACCATGACCCTAACCCACAGGGTCACGGTTTGCGCCAAAAATCTGACGTCGCCTGATTCACTCGAAAAAATGGTGCCAAACACCTGCAAAACACCCCCTACAATGTTTGGTGGTGCAAGCACCGTGTTTCAAGGTAAGGCAAAAAAATGAGCCCTCGGCACCCTGACTAGTCCCCCTAGTCCACTGACCACACACTACTGTCAGCAACCCTTGAATGGTGCTGCCTTTTCCCTTTGACGACACTGTTTCTACACTGCAGTTGTCTTCCCTGCACAATTCTATTCTATCCTGTTCTCTTTTTTTAAGTTTCATTCTCACCTAGCTAATCCAATGCCTCCCCTGTCCTGTGCCAATGCTACTACTGCTGCTGCTAATATTTACTCTAATCCTAACAAGCCTGTTCTTGGAGCTGGCGCTGAGGAGAACCTGGACTCCTTGGGACTGATTGTTGATGCGGCTCATAAGTCAGCAGTCAATATTATCGATTTTGCCGGGTGAATTGTGCACTCCTTGCAAGGCAGTGGCACAGGCTGCAAACTAATAGGCCAATGAAGTTGCTTGACAGCCGGCGGTGTTCCTGCGAAATACTCCAGCAAAACGTGTCTACTGCTTGGAAAGAAGGGAGGTGATTAGTTCCTGCCACAGTTGGGAGATACTTACGAGAGAACAAAGGGAAGTGCAGAGATGGTCCTCCTCTTCACCCTCACATGCAGGGAGAGTGCTGTGTGCTGTGGTGCACCACTAGGAGTGTGCAAAAACATCCCAGGGGATGGAAGGTGCTTTCACCCAATGATAGCCTCACAGCTTCACTACGTTGGGATTTGGACAATCTAGGAAAATTTCAGCTTACTTACCTCATTTCACCTACCTTCTTTCTCAAGTTTAATGTTTTCTTGTAGGTTTGGGGTGTGTTAAGTATTAAGGACATCTTTGGGCCCCTTCAAGGCCTGTGGTCCTGTATCTGTGAACTTAGAATCTATGAGAGGAAACACGCTGAACCAGCCAAACCAGTTCCTTTGTTGGTGTATTGGCTTTAGTTGCTCAGCTAAGTACCTGCCACCGGCATCTAAAAGAATGAGCCCTGTTGCCACACCAGCAAACGGGTGGGCCTTTTCCCATTCCACTTGGCTAGATGCCACACCATCCTAGGATGGAGAACGATAGGCCAACAATGGTTATGCATGTTTGAGAGAGTTTTGGCTGGAAACTATGCATGTAACCTGCACAATTTGTGACCCGTCAAACCAAAGGCAGCCATTGGCTATGCAAGGCAGCCCCTCAGGGGCTCAAGAAGACTACTGGTGCTTCCTACTGCAGAAAGATGGATTGGCAACAAAGCCCCAATAGACAGCTTATGTAGGCCCACAAGCTGGGTGCCATTTAAATTGCAGTCTGCCCTGAAAGCATTCATGAGCTAAAGGGCAGGGGCAGGCAGAAATTTGATTTAAATGGCCTGATTTCATGCAGCGTTTGGGTCATGCAGGTGGCAAGGAGGGTGAGGGGTGTGGAGAAAGAGAAAGAGAGGAAAGGGAGGGTGCTCACACACCTTTTACTCCAGCCCCACCCACTATTGGCATGGAAGATTATCCTCCAGAGCCATCCAGGGCTGCCAGGGGGTGGGGCATCAGGCAGAAAGGCGGGGCAAGTTTGAGTAGGAAGGAGGAGAAATGACAAAAATGATGGACCTACTAGGTAAGGCTGGGTGTGGGTGGATGTCTTTGCCATATTTCAGTTGGCGGTATCATTCCACACAAATGTCTGATGTGTGCTGTAATCTTGTCATTCATCACCTGTGTTTTAACCCATCAGGATAATCGGTTTGGTCTCATCAGTGAAACTCTTCCACACTGAAAACGGAAACATAATGGCACCTCCCCTCCTTCTGACAGCATCATTCTGACCATCCCCTCACTGCTAAATGCAGAGGGATGTCGACATCACATAGCATTTACTTTTCCCATTGAGATTCATATAATTTATTTCACTTTGTCCTAAATCACTTGTGACAGTTGGTGGTAGTGCATAAAAAAATTACAGGGTCCAGCGACACTTGCCATGGCTTTCCCTCAGCAACTGATTTTTTGACAGATTTATCTTAATTAGGGGCATCAGGAGGAAGAGCACAGGGGAAATGGAGACAGAGAAATTTAACTGAGTTTGAGCGAGATCTTAGTTAAGAGCTTTCGGTTCACAATTCATATTTGACAGGAAAAAGAGTGATGCAGTTTCAGTTCATAAGTTCAGCAGATTCCAATGGCATTTCCCTCCTAGACTCTAATGCAGTCTTCTCCAATTCGGCGCTGCCAGATGTTGCCCAAGCACATCATCCCTGACCATTGGCAGTGTTGGCTGTGGCTTATGTGTATTGTAGTCTAAAATAACTGGAGGCAGGCCCCCACAACAGAGGGTGCCCAGGGCTTGCTGACATCACTCATGCATGTCGTGGGGGTGTGCATGTCCCACAATGTATATGTGGAACCGCATAGCCTGGGGAGCCAGCCTCCTCATTGAAAATTTGTGGGTGCCTGGGCCCCTGTGGCCCTGCATAAATGGCACCTACGTATGTCTGGAGGCCACCAAGTGGGGAAAGCAGCAGCAATAATTGAGGTTACAGGAGTGGGGTTCCATGAAATTCCTCCAAAAACAAACAAGCCCACACATGGAAAGTCAGACCATTGAACTTCTGAACTGGTGTCTAGTGATAGTACTGGAGTAGATGAGGGTGAAACAGTTTTACATGCATTTCCCCTGAAATACATGTTTTTACTTGTTTGCTTGTTTTGAGATAAGACTGCACTGAAAAATTCAGAGAAGTGTACCATCCTAACTGTAGTCTGATCCCTGTATTAGCCCAGAAAACACAAGTTAGGTTGACTCCCTTAGAAACTTGGACTGAACAAAATTCTCGGTTCTTCCATTTCTCTCATACACTGAGCTTTGCTACGCTCCATAATGAATAGCCTTCTCCCTTTCTGCAAGACATTCTTGTCTTTGAAATTCCAATTAAAAAGAGAAAAGGGAAGATGCTTTCTCCACATGAACTGCACCGAGTGGCCGTAAGCATCAGATATCTCAAGTGGGGTGGGAGTGTAGCCAACGGCATTAATACCCTTCTTTTTTATGATGCCTCATGCAGTTATACAACTTCTTTTTGAATTTATTCGCCTTCATTAAACATTTCATAATCTCAAACCTTTTCTTGTAGTGCCACCAAAATCAAAGAGGGCAAGTCATAACAGGGCCAGCTGGTTAGATCAGCCAAGAGCCAAGAGGCTCAAAATGGACAGTATTGAGCCAACAATTAAATATCTTGACACTCTGAAGATGAGTTGTAAACTTTTTGTTAGTTATGCAAAGTCTTGGGATCAAAAACGATTGTGTTCCTCTTTGGACAGCCCTTAAATCAAATTATATTGTGGCCTGAGTACTGGAGTGTTTTTAGATTTCTGCAAACATCTGCAAATGTTCTAACGAGGCCTGAGAACATCACTTTGCTGCTGTTTACCACAATGCACCTTTTACTTTTGGTTTAGGAACTTGGGATTTGAATTGTGCTCTTTCTTGTTTTAGCTAATGGCCACCAGCTACTTTTCAGGAGGTAGAATGATTAATGCTACAGTTTGCAGTGAGGCTCCTAGACTCCATCATCTGGACCGCAGAGAAGTGTTGAAAATCAGCTGAAACTGCTGGGTCCTCCTAGTTGCTAAGCTCCATCTTAAATCACTCTGTAGGTTTTTATACCCTTGGGGTTGACCAAGTGGAGCAAACAGCAACTTTGATATGTTATGGGGTGATTTGGACTAGGATAATAGCATGGAGATAATGGTTAAGGGACTTCCTGCCTCTCCTACCCCATATGCCCTCAATATCTGTTCTAGGGGTTCATATAACCCTCCAGGGCAGATTTAAGGATGGCATGGATGACCACTGAAACAGGTGACAGCAGTCACGAAATTAAAAGACACCTGCTTCTTGGGAGAAAAGTGATGACAAACCTAGACATCATCTTAAAAAGCAGAGACATCACCTTGCCAACAAAGGTCCGTATAGTTAAAGCTATGGTTTTCCCAGTAGTGATGTATGGAAGTGAGAGCTGGACCATAAAAAAGGCTGATTGGTGAAGAATTGATGCTTTTGAATTATGGTGCTGGAGGAGACTCTTGAGAGTCCCATGGACTGCAAGAAGATCAAACCTCTCCATTCTGAAGGAAATCAGCCCTGAGTGCTGACTGGAAGGACAGATCCTGAAGCTGAGGTTCCAGTACTTTGGCCACCTCATGAGAAGAGAAGACTCCCTGGAAAAGACCCTGATGTTGGGAAAGATTGAGGGCACAAGGAGAAGGGGACAGCAGAGGAAGAGATGGTTGGACAGTGTTCTGGAAGCTACCAACATGAGTTTGACCAAACTGCGGGAGGCAGTGGAAGGCAGGAGTGCCTGGCGTGCTCTGGTCTATGGGGTCACGAAGAATCAGACATGACTAAATGACTAAACAACAACAATAACAACAACAACAGCATGGATGACACAAGGAGAAGGGGTACAAGTGTTTATCCTTCTGTTGACAGGGCAAGTGAATAGAATAACACCCTTTGTTTCTCAGACTCTCTAGAGTTTACCCCAGAACCACTCAGAGCCCATGAGGGATCTCCCCCACCCCACTCAACTGGGAGTCTTTCAGTCTACATAATACAGACATTAAATTCCCCACTCATATTTCCTCTGTGGAGGCAGAGCTTCGTGGCAGGTCTATATAAACCATCAGTTGGCTCCAAATCATTGCTGGAGCAACATTTCAGGTACTCTGTTGGTCAGTGGTGAAATAGATTGCTCACCCCTTCTTCCCTTTGGCAAATGACTGTACTGTTGAAATGGCGACAAGATCGCATTGGCCTATTTATTCTGAATGTTTGTAAGTGATGCCAATAAAGGTTTGATGATGATTTACATGTTCAGCTGAAAACATGAGAGATGAATTATGTAGCGGGTTCAGGACCATAAATATAAATGTCTCCCTGCCGCTTCCTACTCAACTTTTGAGCATTCAGCATGGAAGGGAGCTGTCTGTGGTGCTGATCTGCATCTTGCCAAAATATCTCCCTGGGGTCCAGCCTAGAAGGGTAGAAATATTTTACTCACAAGGCATAAAATAGATTCTCAAGAATATAGTTTCAAGAACAACAATCAAATCCCTCTAAAGAGCCCTCTTAGCCACAGAAAACCATCCCACCGAAAAGAATAATAATACTGTTTCTCCCACAATTTTTTTTAAAGAGGTTAGAGAATATCTATTGCTAAATTGGAATTTAAAACCAGGTTGAAAGAGATCTTTGTTCAGAATGATTTAGCCTTAATGGCTAATCATAAAACAGCACCCTCCCATTCAATGATAAAATTTCATCTTAGCCTGGAACATTATTTAACTGATTTATCCAGGTTTGAAACTCTCACGCCGCTGATATTTCAGCAATTGCCTTTTGCAGCATTAGACACAGCACAC